TCCGGCGCCAGCAGCCCCTACCAGCCCACCACCGAGCCCGTCAGCCAGCGCCACGGGCTGCGCGGCCTCCGCTGCGATCCCGACTACCTGCGCGGCCCTTTCGGCCGCCTCAAGATCGCCCAGGTGGTGGGTATACCCTGAGTCGCCGGGCGCCTCCGCTTCTCCCCAGCGGGGCTTCTGCCCCCTTCCTTTCTCGGCCCCCCCAGCCCCAGCCTTCCCTCCACTTCAGCTGGTGTCGGGCGAGACCCCCTTTCCTGGCCTGTGCAGGGGAGACTGGCCTCCAAGATCCAGCAGGAGGGTCCCGGCCGGGGATGGGGGTGGTCTCCCCTCTCTGGTGGTCTCCCCACTCTTCCCTTGCCCCCTTCCCAAGGACGGACTGGATGGCGGCTTCCATATGTTGCTTCAACCTTTTGTACTCCTGCTCTGTTTACATTATTTCCTAGGGAACATCTGGAGCCTCTGAGCCCATTCTGTGACATCAGGGTTGTTGATGATGATGATGATGATGATGGGTGTTCAGGTCCAAGGTATCTGGAGGGCGCCTGCTTGGGGAAAGACTGCTGGTCTCTCCTTTCCTTTTTTTCACCTGGGCCACCCGTTGCTTTGGTGGCCCCCGCTGCTATGAAATGGCCTTGAAGGCTCCAGAGGTCTGGCTTATCAGCCCTGTTGGTCTGTCGCAACAGATGGAAAGGAATGGGCACGTTGTAGGGCATCCTAAAGAGTTAGCCCGATTCCTTATGACCAAGGTGTGGATTGCAGGGCTCTTTCAGCTTGGTAGCATGGGGGTTACTCTTCATCCTTTGGCAGAGATACGCGATAACTATGGATGCAGCGAAGGGAGAAGAAATAACGATCATCCTTCCCCTGGGTTAGCACTTCCCATCCTTTGTAGCAGGAATAGCCTGTGCTGTATTTTTGGAGTGTGTGTGATGGGAATAGTTGCCCAGTGCTGCGGGAGGATATCGCGATAAGACTTGCCTAAATAGCGGAGTCCAAAAGCTTAACACACACAGAGAATACAGTCCATGTATTTTCCCCTAACTGTTCCTGTGTCTTTTCTCCAGCCTATCAATATGGGTGAGTTTATCAGTCTGCGGAGGATAAAGTATAGTAATCTGCCACAAATCTGTAGAATTACAAGGGTTCTTTTGTTGGTTGTGCCCAAGCCTAGCAGAGCTGGGATTTGGGGGAACTTGTATTCCATTTGGAGATCTTTGGAGAGGGAAAAAGGGATTTTATATAGCATATTACTTTTCTTTGTCTCCTCATGCTCCCCTCTCCTTTTTAGGAACAACTACTTTAAGTTTATGGGAATCTATATATTTTGCCGAGGATACTGGCATTTCTTTTATTTGTCTCCCTGGTGCCTCTTAATTTTTCCCTCCCCTATTTATGGAAATAATCCATTTTCCTTTCTTCATTTTTCATTCCTATAGTTTCACCAGTATTTCTTTTCAGGTTTTGTTCTGTTTAATTAGGGAGCAGTTTGGCAACAGGTGACATTCTGTATGGTTATTTACATTTATCCAGTTTTGCAAGGTCATTCTTTATAACTAGGGGAAAAAAAGTAGGAGATAAGGTGTCCTCTTCTGACCTCTTATCTCTTACCTCAAGGTGTGTTCCTTGCAAGTGTGTTTGCAATGTCTTTTTATCATCTTGATTTAGCTGATATGTCTATTCATGCCTTTGTTTCAGTTTGCATAATATTACCAAGAACGTGCTTATATTTTGGCATACAAAAGTGCCTGTTCTTCAAAACTAGGTAATTTCACGTAGCACAATCCTATATTTATTAACTCAGAAGTCCCTTTATGCATAAGAAAACATACCTCAGATAAGCTGTATAGCATTGCAACACGGAAATAATGGGTCTTTTGGTCTCCCTGATTGTTTCATTTGGAATGGAAATTTGGGAAGTTGGAAATACATAGAAAATGTGGTTTCTACTGTGTTAGAGAAATATGAACAATTTGTTATCTTTTATGTTTTTGTCTCTAATTTTAACAACTGCTGTCTCATATTGCTCATTTAAAAGTTGTATATCCCATTTAGTCTACAAAATTCCTCAAAACAGTTTTAGAAAATTGATGAAAAACTTACATTAAAATTGCGATAGTATCACAACAAAATGCAAAAGCACCGAAAGTAGGTCTAAAATTAAAATATTCTAAAACTCCAGTCAATACCTTCTTATTGACTATTTGGCTAGAGGCTTAAAGAGAAAGTCAGCTGAGCTTTTTGAGGCTGAGTATCACTACAGTGTATTGAAAAATCCTTGTAGCCCAACAGATTGGGTCTTGAAAGTTAAGGAACGCTGGCTTCCAGTGATTTTTATGAGGGAAGTTAAGTAAATTCACATGGGGAAGACAGCCTTTCAGTTCTGCCTGCCCCAGACAGTTGAGGGCAGCATCTTTAGCTGTATTTAGATGTAAAGGTAGAAATCAAAATAAGCTTGTAGTTCAGGGGGTGGGATGGAGGTGATGAAACTGTACATGTATTTGGATGTAACTTCCAAATAATACATGTGTCAGTGAGAACAGCGGCAGTATGTTTGCAAAGCCACACTGATTTATTGTAGATTGGTTTTGATAGCGCAAGGTATAGCCACAGAAATAGCTACCAGCATAGACTATTAAACATGAGAAGTATCTGATGTGATATTGTATGTGGAATGTACTGTAATGTATTTGATTTTCTTTTTCTGCCTTGACTACTAGTTTGTTGATGTCTTAATAGCTTTAATTTTTCATTGGTATCTGAGATTTATATCTTAACATCTTTGACGTATACCCCCATCATACATCTATTGTGAATGGCCAAATTGGGAAAAGAAAATGGGTGTGGGCTAAGTTGTTTACTGACCTTGGTCTGGATGGAGTTTCTTTTGTGTTTGTTGCTTAGGTGCCACTGTTCTTATCTGAATGTTTGAACACTGAGGTTCTGATATCCTAGTTAAGTGTTTTTAATGGCATTTCAAGAACAGAGATACAAATCTCAGGGACACAAAATTGTACTTTACTATAATTGAGCCATGATTTAGCATTATGTGGATAAACAGTTGTGACTTGGGCTTACATGTTCCATTCTTCCTTTGTACTGTTGACTGGAATATTCTAATGACAGCAGCAAATCATAGTTTGGGCTTGAGCTCGGTGTGCACAAATCATAGTTTGCTGCATTGAGATATAATGGCAAACTTTTTACCATTCATCTGAATTAGAAGTTTCCAGCAGCATTTTTTAATGAACTAGACTGCAACTTGATGTTCCCATCTATTTATGTCAGGATGACCTGAATTTCTGCATATTTTATGCATTTAACCAGAGGACTTTATAAGGATGTATTTTCCAGAGGCAGCTTTATGAGACATGGAAAAAATTCTGGGTGATCAGTGGAATTTGTCTAGCATGGGAAAGGCACCTAGTATGATTATATGGGAAGGAACTATGCCCACGTAGTCATTTCTTTCTATTTCTGTTCTAAGAATGCAACAATATCTCATCAGTGGGAAATAGCTCATACCACACTGGTTACTGGAACTAGATTTTGTTGTGATTTAACAAGAAGGTGTTTGTTAATTAATTTGTGTTGCATGGCATTCAAGTAAATATGTCACCCTGATACATGTAATTCTGTTTTTATTTGAATTCAGTGATCACAAAATGATCAAAAGCTACATTTTCATATTCCTTAGGTTCCTGATTTATTAGTTTGAACATTTAAAAAATGCTAGCTTTGCAATCACTTCAAATAATTTGGAGATTATTGTCTGATTGGAAGAGCTGTCATGTACAACTATAATGCTAACATTTAACATTGGTCTGGGCTTGGACTGCCATTTGAGATTTTAAAGTCATTTTTATGAGTTTTGTCTAAACTTAACCAACAGTAAAAAATTAACAAGCAAAATGTGAGATGAACATATTTCAAAATTAGCGTTTATATATTACTGTATTTTAAAATCACATTTATTGGGCTATTATTATAAGACAAAAAGGGAAGCACAATTATTTTCAGTAATTAGATTACATGAGTGAATGATGCAAGAGCAATTGTGTTAATTATGTTTTATGCCACAAGTTTAAAGAGCTTTATTGGTAGAGTTAATTTTGTAACTCATTTCTTGATAATACCTTCCCCCAATAATATATATTTACATTAAACTTCTAAAGTTTAGTTAGTTATTTTCTGAAGTTTGATGGTAGCTGAAAATAGAAAATTTCTTTGTGAGAATTCCATAGATTAGGGATTATGATATTTTTTCTGAGTCCATCTCTGAATCATTCTCATGCTTTCTATCAATACCCCTTTGACTGTTCACATGTTCTGTTTCCTCATCTTCAGTACTTTGCTTTTCTAACTCTTTCACAGTACAGATACATATGTATGTCTTCCATGTGTTACAAAATCATGCAAACTGTCTGAACCATGCACATTCGGTAGATATTTATATTCGTTTGCTCTATTGACCATGGAAACTATAAAATATAGGCTTTGTGACTGCTTTTTTAAAGCAACATTTTGGAGCTCCTGATGTTTTGTAGTTAAATATATTACAACAAATGTATTTATTGTCTCGATATTCATGTTAGCTTATCTAAGCTAAACTGCACCTCTTAGCTAAATTAATAGGACTTCAATTCTAAACAGTAAACTTGATACTGAAATTTTTCAGGCACAAGAAAAGCTTCCTGCTTGCAACAAGACACAGTAGGATATAAGAAATGTACATAGATATTCTAGTTACAGTGGATTATTGTAGTGTTTGGAGAAAGGTCATGTTTTCTACATAACTCTTTGTTCTCTAGATTCATTTGTAGTTTTGTGCATAATTGCAAATAGCAATTTTATCTCCCATTTGTTCAATTTGGTGGAACTTGGGTTCTTTTGGAAAATATTTACTTGAGGCCCCTACCCCTTTGTGAATATATGGTGGTACAATATATATATGGTGGTATTGCACTTCAGGGTGCTTGGTGACACATTATTGGCAGGCGGTTTAAACACAGTGTGGGAAGCTTTGGCGCTTTAGGGAATGTGAAATGTTTTTTAAAAATTCAGACAGTGGAAAATTTGTTCTTTTGGGGCATAATTTGAAACACATTTGTGTGGCTTTGTTTCAACCA